ATTCAAGGGTCCTGCAGACCTGTTGCCATGGCAGCCCAATGGCAGGGAGACAGGGACAGAGGTTAGGGAGCTCTGTGCCAGAGCCGCAGCTGCCTGGGTTTGTGACGGCGGCATCTCTTGCTGGGCAGGCCTCGGCAAGGGCCACGTGGCAGACAGAGACACACAAAGCAGCAGTGCAGAGGGTCCCCACAAACCCACGCGTGGATAGAACTTTTCTGCCCACAAAGGCTGTTCCTGTCGGCCTCTAACCCAGTCCTCACCATCAATTCAGAGGGTGGCAGGTTAGACCCATCTTATGGACGGGTAAGTCACTGAGATTCAGAAAGGTTGCGTGCAGTGGCTGTGTGGCTGGTGCGGAGCAGAGTCGGGACCTGAACCCAGGTGTGTCTGACTGCAGATCGGCCACTGCTTTGTCCCTCCAGGAGCCTGAATCCTCACCCAGTCTCGACCCTTGACCCTCGCTTTGGATTTGGAATGGGAGGTGTTTCTGAGGACAGGGAGTCCCTTCAGGATCCCCCTCACTCTCTCTTTAATCAGCTTGACGACATAGATTGGACATTCAGGGGACGAGGGGGAGGTATCCTCTGTTCACAGTACTGAGAAGAAGAGAAGAGAATAAGAGAAGAGAAGAGAATAAGAGAAGAGAAGAGAATAAGAAAAGAGACGAGAACCGACGCCCAGGTGGCTCAGGGGTTTAGCGCCGCCTTCAGCCCAGGGCCTGATCCTGGAGATCTGGGATCAGGTCCCACATCGGGCTCCCTGCATGGGGCCTGCTTCTTCCTCTGCCTGCACCTCTGCCTCTCTCTCTGTGTCTCTCATGAATAAATAAATTAAAAAAAAAAAAAGAGAAGAGAGGGAAGCTGTTCCCTGGCTGGCTTGGCGGCTGCTGTCACCCGGGTGTGTCTGTTCCTGGTGTTCCTACATGGTCCAGGCTGGGTGTCCCCGTGTCTGCGTGTGTCTGGCCCAAGCTCTCTTTTCCCCGCAGCATCAGCTTACACACAGCCCGCGGGTCCGCTGGTGGGCTTCCTAGGCATCTCTCTAGAAGAGGGATGAAGACTTGGCTTAGCAAACACAGTGTAACTTACTGGATTGAACGTCAGCACAGAGTATTGCTTTCTTTTTACCCCTTCCTTATTATTGTTGATGTCAACGTTCCCTGCCCTCATTTTTTTTTTTTAAGATTTTTAAATTTATTCATTCATGAGAGACAGAGAGGGAGGCAGAGACACAGGCAGAGGGAGAAGCAGACAACCTGCGGGGAGCCCGATGTGGGACTCGATCCCAGGACCCTAGGATCACGCCCAGAGCCGAAGGCAGATGCTCGACTGCTAAGCCACCCAGGTGCCCCATCCTTGCCCTCATATAAAACGATAGGGAAGAGATTTGTGCACAAGGTTTTTATTTTTGTTTTCGCTTTTGTTTTTATTTCTCATGCATAAAATAGATTGATAGAAATAGGAGGATGTCCTTTGGCTTCTCACCAAGGATAGGCTGGCTCTTGTTCTCCAGCAATATGTGAGAGTTGCCGTGCGGCGTGCCCTAGCCAGCTGTGGCTGTTACAGCTTTTTATCACTGTTATTAGAGCATAATTCATGTAAGACAAAGTGCATCCTCGCGAACACTTGGGTGACTCGTGCTGGCTGAGACCACCGGCGCAGGAAACAGGATGGGTGCAGGTGACCATCGGTCCGCCTTTCGTCACTGTGGGCAGAAGCCCTCTACGTAGGCTTCTGTGGCTTCAGCAGGTTTGGAGATCTGTCCATGGTACGTGTGTCTCAGTAGTTAGGTTTTACTGCTAGTAATCGTCTACTGAGTGGCTGTGGCACGTTGGCTCCCTCCTCCTGGTTTCTCGTTTGGGGCTATCATGAATAAAGCTTCTAGAAGTATCTGTGCGGCACCGTTTACAGAGACACATGCTTCGTTTCTCCCAGGCAAGTACCTAGGAGTGGCTGCATCATTGGCAGATGTATGTTTATAGGAATCTGCCCATTTTTCCTAAGCAGGATTTTTGCCAATACCAAAGTTGCCCTCTCCAAAAAAACAGCTTGCTCTTTGAAACCAATTTTTGACTACTAGTGAGATGAGTGTTTTCCCACATTTTTGTGAACGAGTCACGTTTCCTTTTTGGTACTTTACCCATTTGTCTGTTAGGGTTTTTCGGCATTTCCTTGCATCACTGGCTGTGATCTGAGTTCTTGATACGTTACAGACACCTGTTACTTAACAGACACCTGTTACTTTCTCTCTCCTGGTTTTACGCTCCCTTGGATCTCAGTTATGCTTCTCTTGGGCGTGAGGGCACTTTTAAATGTTCAGGAGGGCAGCTCTTGACCTTTGTGATTTCCCTGCCTGCTTTGGACTTTGAGGATCCTCGGTGTGGAGTGGTGTGCGGGCCTGTTCCACCATGGTGATGCCTCCTGCTTCTGGTGGCTGACCCGGGGTTGTCTTTTGTCTTGAACACCTTTCCTGCCTCGGGATGGGGCCTTCCTCACCTTGTCCTAGAGTAATGTGTGCGGGGTTTCCCAGACAGAGTGGTGTTCCACAGTGGATGGTGGGTCTCTAAGCCCCTTGTACTGCTCAGAGCTCCCTAACTCAATGCACCAGGTGCCTGGTGTCAGCAGGTGCTATGCAGGCTGGGGGAGGGTCGGCCCTGGTTGGACGTCCTCTCCTCTTCCCTCCCATCACATGGGTAGGTCCCCCCACCCCATGCAGCTCCCTGCGGTGCCACCGTGGAGTCATTGCTCAGGGCCCCAGAGAGCCCGGTGAGGGGGCGCTGATGCGGAGGGCTTCTAGGCGAGATCTTTCTTAGGTCAGAGCCTGTGGCTGACGCAAGGTGGCCTGGGCTTCAGGTGGATGGCCCTGGTGGGGCCACCTCGCTGCTATGGGCACCTGGGCAAGCTGCCTCCCTGAGCCTGTTCCATCGGGATGAGCCATGTGCATTTAGCCGGCATTTATGGAGTGCCTGCTGTGTGCCTGGCACTTTCGTGGGCTTTGAGGTCTGGCGGTGGCCAAGACGCAGTCCTGGCTCCTGGGACGCTTTCATGCTGTGCGGCACAGGCAGCAGAGAGCCCTGAAAACACCAGGGGTGAGAAGGTTGTGACAGCAGTAAAACCAGGTGCCGTGACAGATGCCTGGGGCCACGTTCAGTATGGGGTCAGGAGATGTTCCTCGAAGAGGTGACTTTTCAGCTGTGACTGGGAAGCTGTGCGGAGCTGCCTGGGCAGGGGTCCCGGGGCAAGAAGTGTCGGCTGCAGAGCAGTAGGTACAAATGCGCCGGGGAGGGGGCGGCAGGTGCTTGGGTCAGCACACAGGCTGGTGACCGGTGACCCGGGTGGAGCAGGGACGGGGCTGGTGTGGAGTGTTTGCGAGAACTGGGTTTTCTTCTGAATTCCATGGAAAGGTTCTAAGGGGGCGGGGGAGGGCAGGAAAAGGTCCTTAAATAAAGATCCCGGGGCTGTGGTGTGGAGGGTGGGCTGCGGGGCGGGAGTGGAAGGGCCGCTCAGGTGTCCCCACGAAGGGGTGCTGGCTTGGGCCCAGGCTGGCAGTGCGGGTGGGGAGGACTTGGCGTGTGGACTTGCTGACGGCCACCCGGCTACTAGGAGGTCTGCTGGGGAGCGGTTGTGGAACCAGCCCAGGCCTGGCACCGGCCCCTCTCAGATCTTGTGTGGGTGTCACTCAGAGAGGGTGGGGGACCCTGGGAGGGCGGCCTGGGTCAGGGTCCTGGGCCTGCACATTTTCCTCAGGGACCCGGGTGGATGAGCTGTGGGGAAATCCTTCTTAGCACCGTAAAGCAGGGAAACGGGACCTCGAGTGGCCCCCGCTGGGCGCGAAGGATAATAGAGAGCAGTCCGGTGCATATCTTGTGCCACGTCCAGAACTTCACTCCTGAACCCAGGCCCCTTGTCCCCAGGCTGGGAGGCCGTCTCGTCCACTGCACTCCAGGCCAGGGCAGCTGCTCACAGGCAGTTTGTGCTGAGCATCTGGCCCCTTCATGTCGCCAGGTTGCCGAGCCTGAGTGTGGGGTCTGTCGGGTCTGAGGGCCTCAGCAGGCTCTAACACTGCGAACTTGAGCGCGTCCTTGAACCTCTTGGGGGTCGGTGTGCTCTGTGCAGGAGGCAGTGTGACAGGGCTCTGAGACAGCTGAAGGCAACAACCCGCGTGGCACTCTTGCCCGGGCCGACAGGTGGCAGGCATGTCAACGCATCACCTCCGATGCTCTGCTCATCCTCATCCACGCTGACTGGGCGCCCAGCCAGCACTAGGTTACTAGGGGGTTGCTTCTGTTAGCATAACGAAAGGGATCGCTTGCGGGAGGCAGGGCCTGGCCCCCAGGACGGACACTGATAGCGAACCTCTGCGTCCCTGGGGCGGGTGGCAGGGTGGCCTCTGCTCATCGTAGCCAGAGTTGCTTCTGGGGAGCTTTCCAGGACTCACAGGGCGCCTTTGCTCACTTTGCGGGGGATCCGTCTGTAGCGTGGGCATCGTCTGTCATCCAATGATGTGAGATGACAGGCAGGGGCCTTGGTTCTGCCTGGGACCTGGGAGCCTCAGGGCGGATCAGAAGACCCCCCTCTGTCCTCCTCCGCCTGGGAGCCAAGCAGGGCAAGGGGGTGTGGTGGCCACAGGCCCGGCTGAGGGCAGGGCAGTTTGGTGGAGGTGTGGCTGAGATGAGCAAAGCCTGGGGTTCTCTGTGAGCGACAGTCTTCCAGAGCTGATGGCTGAGCCCCCAGGAGGCAAGTCAGGGGACCTGACGGTCCTGGTTGGGCCACTGACCTGCCCGTGACACGTGGCTGTCAGGTTCCCCATCTCTAAGTGCGAGGATTAGGCCCTGGCACCCAAGTAGGAGGACCAGGTCACAGTGGTCAAGTATTTTCCGGAGAAGAGAGGGAGAAACCAGCAACAGTGTAACACTTAAAAAATAAATTAATTAATTTAAAACAAAAACAAAAACAAAACAGTGTAACATTTTGAGTTTATAAAGCCATAGCTCTGTCCCCAGTCTTGAAATTTCATGGGCTCTGCCCAGAAAGGGAGGAAGCCCTTGTTTGTCGACCTGGAGAGCGGGGTGCAGGCTCTGCCCCCCGGTTCCCTGGGGGGCTGTGAGGAGCCTGGGGACCAGAGAGGCCACACTGCTTGCCTGCCGGCACCCAGCAAGGGGCGGGGCTGGAGCAGAAGCCAGGTCTTTGTCACCCAAGCCTGCGGGCTTTCCTTCCTCCTGTGGGGAGAGATTAGGACAGAGATTTACTGATCCTGAAGACAGTGTTTGTACTAAGGAGGCCCCACGAAGAAGATCGGGGAGAACAAATCTGGCTGATGAAAGGCAGGGGTGAGGGAGGGGGGGCGCCCTCCCTGCTTCCTGCAGTGGCAGCCGGGCTGCTTGGCACTGGTGCAGCTGTTCCTTTAAGTGGGGTTCTCCGTGGGAACTGCCGCAGCCGGGGGTGGGGGTGGGGGTGGGGGATGCCGGCCAAGGGTGGTGCCAGCCTCCAGCTCCCAGCCCAGACAGCCCGTGACGCTGCCTCTCGCCCCGGCTCTCCTTCCCCAGAAGCTGCTGATTCATCCACGCCCGAGTCGCCGGGACTCTCGGCTCTGCTGGTGCAGGCGTTGGGCCTGCTGGGCCGTGTCCTTGAGCCCTGTCCCCTGGCTGGCCGTGGGGGCAGGGGGAGGATGGGGTGGGGGACTCTGAACATGCCAGAGCCCCAGCAGACCTCTAACCAGACGTGCGGGTGGGGGGTGGGGGAGGGGAGGGCCGAGCGTGGCCAAGGTCACAGGGTGGGGGGCGCAGGTGACCCGTCCTCTCTCACTCCTCTCTGGCCTCCCTCGGCAGGGTGCTTTAAGGATGACCGCATCGTCTTCTGGACTTGGATGTTCTCTACCTACTTCATGGAGAAATGGGCACCGCGGCAGGATGACATGCTCTTCTACGTGCGCCGGAAGCTGGCCTACCCGGGCGGCGAGGGCAGCGTAGACGGGAGGAAGGTGAGCAGCCCCCTCCGGCCCCAGCCAGGCGGCCGTGCAGGGTCTGCCCCTAGCCGGCCAGGTGGCCACCCCACAGTCCTCCTCGTGCACTTCCCAGGGGAGAATGATGTTCACTGTGCACCTACTGGGCACCAGGAGCCGTGTGGAGACGGTGGCACATGTCAGCCGGGGGTGGGGCATGTACGTTCCTCTTGATCCTCCCCAGGACCTTGAGAGGCTGTGACTGACATCACTGTTGTCCCCTTGAGGAGACAGGGCCAGAGGGAGGTGCATTGGCCAGCCCCTCCTAATAGTATATTGATGGAGCCCAGAGTGCAGGGTCCTCCGGGCCACGGGCAGGACGCTCAGGGTCAGAGATGAGGAGGAGCCCGGCAGTTCTGAGCCCTTAACCGTGCAGCAGACACAGTGCTGCAGCTCCACGGGGCAGGTGGGGAGGCCAGGCCCTCGGGGAGGAAGTGACTCACCTGAGCTGTTTTGACCAGTACGTTTCAGTGTGTGGAGGAGTTAACAAAACAACCTTCCCGAGTTTCCTTCTGTTTTTCAGAAAAGCTATTAGTTTGTAAAATGTTCAAGCAACTTGTATGCCAGACGGGGAAACACGTTGTTTCCCTTTAATCACAGAAGTGGGAAGGCTGTGCAGGCAGGTCTGGAGCTCGCAGCCACCTGAGGTCCAAGTCCAGTGCCCTCTGACCCCTGGGCCGCAGCTTGTGAGCTGTGGCTTGTGCCTCAAGTGCGTGGAGCCCTGCCCTGCTGTATCGCTGTTCTCGGAGCTTGACACGGAGGGCCTAAGTGTCCTGCAAATGGACAGGCCTGGTGCCTGCTGCACAGGAGACACGGTGACTTGCATGCTGGGAGCCAGAGAGCTCCCCGGCTGGCCTGGAGGACACACGGAAGACCCAGGGTTGGCCTGGGTCCTTGGGCATTGAGCTGGTGCTGGGGAACTGTGTGTGGTCACTGGGACCCTGAAGTGCATCGCAGAGCCAGTACGGGAGGGTAGATCCAGCGACGGGAAGGGAGAGATGTGGTCACCAGAGGCCACTTGGGTGAGGTGAGTCTTTAAGGAAGAAAGGGCTTTTCCTAGCCGAAGGGACCATGGCCCAGACTGTGGGCCTGAAGCCATGTAAAAGCCCCATGCCCTGTGCATTCAGGTGGCTGGTGGTGGTACCGTGTGGCCCGGGTGTAGAAAGGAGGGGAGCGGAAACAAGGTAGGCATGGGCCACATCACATGGATGCTGAAGGTCAGGCCTCGGAGTTTGGATTGATCCCTGAAGCTTTGATAACGTGAGAAAGGAAGGGGAGGTGGCCACAGTTCCATTTAGCAAGCCCTCGGGTGGTCGGGTGGTCGGTGGAGGAAGGACTGGAGGGGTTAGAGCAGAAGCGAGGCGGGAGGGTGTAGGGGAGTGGTCTGCGGGCGGCACGCAAGGCCGAGGAAGCAGGCTCGGGTGACTGAGTATGGGCCAGAGGGAAGGCCCGAGCTCGCAGCCGGGTCTCTGACGGGCTGTCACAGGGGGACAGAGTTCAGTGCTGGGCGGGCTGAGACCTAGGTGCCTGTGGGACGGCCAGACGGCGACGTCCTCCGCAGTGGAGCTGCTGTCTGAAACTCCGCAGATGAGCCAGGGCCGGAGGCAGAGCTTCAGGACCGTTGGACCCAGGATGGTGCCTGGGGCTCCTGAGGAAGGAGACCAGAGTGTGACAGAGGTCTAGAACAGAACTCTGAGCTAGCTTCACCCTGGAGGGACCAGCGGGAGACACAGCAGCTGGCCCGTTGGGGGTGCCAGGAAGAAGGAGCACGGCGGGGGTGCCAGGAGGCCCGTTGGGGGTGCCAGGAGGAGGTCCCACGATGTGGGACCTGAGGAGCCAAGTCTGGCAGGATGAGAATGGGGACAGGCCATGGGACCTGTGACCAGAGACTGTGGAGGCTTGGGCAGAGCAGCCTCGGCAGTGGGCAGAGACCCAGGCTGCATTCAGTATGGGCAGGGGTGCCCTCTGGGAGGGATGAAGACAAGGCCCCAGTTGGTGGAATTTGGCAGGGGCAGGTATTGGTGGAGAGATCCCTGAGCTGAGCACCTGGGGAGGCCGGCCCGGAGCTCCTCAGTCACCATGCCCCCCCTGTCTGGGGTGCAGCTGGGAGTGACTGTGCCCGCCCTGTCTGGGGTGCAGCTGGGAGTGACCATGCCCGCCCTGTCTGGGGGTGCAGCTGGGAGTGACCGTGCCCGCCCTGTCTGGGGGTGCAGCTGGGAGTGACCGTGCCTACCCTGTCTGGGGGTGCAGCTGGGAGTGACCGTGCCCACCCTGTCTGGGGTGCAGCTGGGAGTGACTGTGTCCGTCCTTTCTGGGGGTGCAGCTGGGAGTGACTGTGCCCACCCTGTCTGGGGGTGCAGCTGGGAGTGACCGTGCCCTCCCTGTCTGGGGTGCAGCTGGGAGTGACCGTGCCCTCCCTATCTGGGGGTGCAGCTGGGAGACCAGCTTTTCCAACTTTCTCTTCCTTGACTTGCCAGGTGACTCCGGCCAATCAGCCCTTCCCTGGGGTTCAGCCTGTCCTGGGAGGGGGTTGGGCAGGTGCTCAGTGAGGTTGAGGTCCTCCCATTGCACACACCTGGGAGGCCAGATGTGTGGGATGGTGTGACCACAAGCATCTCCCCACAGAAGGTGGTGGGCACCTAGGGAACCTCACCGCCAGTGACCCCTACTGTGGGCTCTCTCTCCTACCTCGGCACGGCCCCAGGGCACAGGCTCCTACTGCTACAGCTCGGCTGCCAGAAGACTGGAACTGGGAGCCCTTCTGCCCAGGGGCAGTTGGGGAGGGGGTGCAGGGCTGTGGCTTCTGTCCTGCAGCCTGCACCATGCTGACCTGTCCACATCTGCTGGAGATGACATTGCAGACATTGGGTTCTTTTTTTTGGTGGGGGGTCAAAATTTTGATCTTTTTTCCAAAGGCAGCCTGCTGAGACCAGGGGCTCTAATAAGGATCTGAGACTCAGCTGGACCTTGAGTTTTGGCGCCAGGAGAGCCGGACCCACCCCCGCCCCAGTTAGGGATGGTCTTAGCCCAGCCCAGCCTTACATTCTCTAGGAGGCAGGCAGGAGAAGGGAGAGTCCAGGTGAGCAGGTGGGAAGAGAGATTCCCTGGATCCAGAACTGAGCAATTTGGAGCAGGAGTCCTGGGACTGTGTGCAGACTTCTGGAAGGTTCCAGGGTGTTGAGGCCAGTCAGGAGAGCCTGAGTCCACAGGAGCATATGGCAGCCCAGCTATTCACATGCTAGAATGTTCCCCTGAACACGGCAGTGAGCTCTGTGCAGACTCCCCTCCTGCAGGAGTGACTCGGGCAGGCCCTGTCCTTGGGGAGCCTGCCCTGTCCTTGGGGAGCCTGCCTTGTCCTGGGGAGCCTGTCGTCTGTGTGGACAGACAGACAGCATAGCGCGTGACACACAGGAGCTCAGTAATGGTCGTGGGGGAGACCCCGCAGAGGAAGCTGGGACGCAGGCCTCATGCTCTAGGACAGCGGGAGGGCCCCCGTGGTGGCAGGACATTCCCGCTGGGGGCGGTGCAGGGTGCCTTGTGATGCAGCCCCTCTGGGAGGACTGTGGGGGTCTGTGTGTCCGGGGGCGAGGGCCAGGCAGCCATGTGGGGAGAGCCCACAGGCCTGATGGGTGCAGGGTGTGCAGGGAGGGACATGTCGAGGACTGAGGGGACAGCCTTCCGCAGCCTCTGTGCCCAGAGCAGGTGCGGGGGAGGGGGCTGTGGCGCCTGCGCACTGAGGGCTCTCTGCAGCAAGCCAGGGCCGCTTCCAGGGCCGCTTCCGCCCCCTCCCCTGCTCTCCCCTCCTCTGCCCTCCCCTCCCCTGCCTTTCCCCTCCCCAGCCTGCAGCGCTGGTACCCGGTCACCATAGCAACCCGGGGCTTTCTGCGCTGGGCCCCATGGGGTGGATGGGCCCCCTGCCTCTGCCTCTGGGTAGGCGGGGTGAAAGGAAGTGGGGTGGGGGGGTGGGACTGGGGCGGAGGCGGGATCCCCAGGGCCTGCTACAGCTGAGGGACCACCTTGGGGTGCAGCCAGGGATGGAGAGGTGAGGCTGGGGCATGTCTGTGAGCACCTGCTCGTCCTGGAGGAGTGGGGTGGGTCGGGTGCTGGGACTCACCTGTGCCCACGCTGGCCTCCCAGCTGGCCGAGGCCGAGCCCGAGGTGGAGGTGGAGGTGTACCGGCGGGACTCCAAGAAGCTGCCGGGCCTCGGTGACCCTGACATTGACTGGGAGGAAAGCGTCTGCCTGAATCTCATCCTGCAGAAGGTACAGGGGCGAGGGGGTGGGGGGCAGGGCTCCGAGAGGAGGGCTGTGGGTGGGGGCGTCGAGGGACAGCAGACCTCTCCACGCTCCCCGTCCTGTGCGCTCTCTTCCAGCTGGATTACATGGTGACATGTGCCGTGTGCACGCGCACTGATGGTGGGGACATCCACATCCATAAGAAGAAATCCCAGGTAAGCGTGGGTCCTCCTTCCCGCTAGCTCAGCCCAGAAATGCCACCTGTGTGGCTGCTCAGAGTTTTGGTTGGGGAGACAATTGCCCCCTCCCCTCCTGCTTCCTCCGCTTCCTCCTCCTCCTCTTCCTCCTCCTCCGCTCCCTTCCTGCCTCTTCCCTCCCTCCTCCCCTTCCTGCTACTTCCTCCTCCTCCTTCCCCCTCCTCCTCCTCAATCCCTCCCATCCCCCTCCTCCTCCCTACCCTCCTCCTCCTCACTTCCCTGCCTTGAGGTGCCAGTCTGAGCAGAAGCCCATCCTACTCGTGGGGTCCTGTGTCACCTGCAAGGAGCACTGAACCAGGTCATCCCAAGCAGCTCCTTGCTGAGCGGTTCCCTGAGGCTCTGGCCTGGCTCTGAGCAGTGGGAGCACCGTGACCTGTCCCTAGAGTCGCTGTGGGCCTGGGTGCAGGGTAGGGCCTCATTCAGTCTTTGCAATCTATCTTCCTTTCAGCAAGTGTTTGCGTCCCCCAGTAAACACCCCATGGACAGCAAGGGGGAAGAGTCCAAGATCAGCTACCCTAACATCTTCTTCATGATCGACAGCTTTGAGGAGGTGAGCAGCTCGTGCCCAGCTGTGTGTTCCCGAGGCCCCTCCTCGGCGGTGCGAGAACCTGGCCCCCCTCTGGCCTCACACCCTTGCAGACTGGCGAGAGCTGGGGGGAATGGGGCGCTCCCAACTCCTACCCGTGTGTCTCCCACTCTTCCTGGCGCTGGGCTGGGGCCAGTGGTGTTCCCTAGCTCTGAGCCTGTTTTCTCCTCTGTAAAACGAGCGTCATGATCATGTGTCCTACTTACCCATCCGGGTCGAAGATCACATGAGCTCGTGAACAGGAGAGTGTGTCATAAATTCCTATAAAAAGTGCTGCCTGGGCAGGAGGAGTCATTAGTATGGCCATTAAACTCCAAACAAGTGCCTCCACGCTGAGAGATGCTGGGGTGTCAGGGGTGGGGCTGTGGAAGTTTCTTGGCCAAGCTTCTGTTTTCAGGCTGGGAAAACGGGACTCACAGCAGAAAGTGACTCACCCCAGCAATGTGGGGCACCCTCCCCCCACCCCCTGCCAACTCCTGCCCAGCTGCTCTCTGAGATCCCCCTAGTGGTGCTTGTCCCCACCTAGAGGCTGTCACGACCCCAGGGAAGACTCACAAACAAGGGAGCCTGTGTTTCAGGGTCTCCTCTCTATTTGATGGTGCCTCGAAGCACGTTAGGCTCAGGGGACCGAGTGCCATCCCCAGGCTGGCACAGCCCGGTCATGGCACAGCCCGGTCATGGCAGAGCCGAGATTTGAATCCAAATCTGCGGGACCTTGTGTTTGGGTCTGAACGCCAGGCTCTGGAGTGGTGACTCGGTGACCCTGGCAGGTGGCAGGACGTGGAGCCTGGGAGCCCGGCTGCCATTTGGGTGCTGGACCGCTGACACTTTCCCCGTGTCCCCCTTGTTCCCCTTCCCAGGTGTTCAGCGACATGACGGTGGGGGAAGGAGAGATGGTCTGTGTGGAGCTGGTGGCCAGTGACAAAACCAACATGTTCCAGGGGGTCATTTTTCAGGGCTCCATCCGCTACGAGGCACTGAAGAAGGTGTACGACAACCGAGTAAGCGCAAGGCTGGGCCCCCCACGGCCCCTCTGTCCTTGCCCAGCTCCGTGCCGCGACTGCCCGTCCCCAGAGCACCTGTGGCCCCTGGGCCTGCCCTACATGTGATCTCGCTCGTCTGGGCACACCTGACCTGAGGGACAGGAGGCCGCAGCCCGAGCAAGCACCCCCGAAACTGACCCTGGTGGTGGAAAGGGGGAGGAACCGCTTTCCTGCACCCAGCACCCTCCTGACCCTGGCCCCTCCCAGGAGAGGACAGGGGTGGGGGTGGCCTCAGGCTCCTCGGGGCCAGGCTCTGTCCCCAGCCTGATGCTGGGCCTGGAGGCGGGGATCATGGGGCAGTGGGAGGAGCGTCCTCCGGAGCCCTAGGCATCCCAGCACTACCCTGCCTCCTAGGGGTGCCCCTGCCCCGGTCAACGAGGTCTGCTCCCCCCGAGGGATGTGGGCAGCCCTAGCGACTTGTGTACCCAGGCAGAGGCCATCCCTACGTGTGCTAACCTGGGCCATGTGGCACCTGCCCGCAGGTGAGTGTGGCTGCCCGCATGGCACAGAAGATGTCGTTCGGCTTCTACAAGTACAACAACATGGAGTTTGTGCGCATGAAGGGGCCACAGGGCAAGGGTCATGCTGAGATGGCAGTCAGCCGTGTGTCTACTGGTGACACGTCCCCCTGCGGGACCGAAGAGGATTCCAGCCCGGCCTCACCCATGCATGAGCGGGTAAGGGCTGCGCAGCTCGGGGAGGGGCCTCTGTCCCTCGGATCCGCCTCCCACCGCCTCCCTGATCCTTACAGTCCCCCCCCCCCTGAGGTAGAAGTCGTCATCCCCACCCTCTGGGGAGAGGCTAAGGTTCAGAGAGGGCAGTGACTTGCCCAAGGTCACACAGCAGGTCTGCGAGGGCCGGGGCTCTTTCTGCCTCCCAGAGCTGCTGCCGCAGCTGCACAGAGCCCAAGGGGAGCCCGCGCTGGTCCTGGCACCTTCCTCGGGGGGCCTGCAGGCTGAGCACGGTGCGCACACGACCGGCCTTCCCTGGGCAGTGTCCCGGGGATGACGACGAGCTAGTCTCCCCTCCTGCCCTGTGAGGTCAGCGAGAGGACACAAGGTCCTTCCTGGCTCTTCCCTCTGCCCGGCCCACTGGTTTACAAGGTGTCCCCGTGGCAGCCCCATGAGGAGACTAGGGTGTTCCTGTGTGCAGACCTGGAAACTCAGGCTGCCCGGGTTCAGCAGTGCTGCCCCAGGTCCCACGGCTGTCATGTGACAGCCCCAAGCCTCTGAGCTCTGCTCTTTCTAGGCCACCATCCTTCCCCAGGGTGGGACGCTGAGGTCAGTGGCAGCTTTATTCCCAGGGGAAGAAGTGTCTAGCCCGCTGGCTGCTTTGCCCTGCTTGGCTCGGCCCAGGGGCTGCTTAGACCTGGGGGTCTCAGGAGGGGACAGGTGAGCGGGGATGCTGGGGGCAGGGAAGCAGCCTTGGCCAGGCTGTCCGTCCACAGGAAAGAGCCTGGGGGTGAGGCCGTGCGGGCGGGAGCCTGGGTGCTGCCGCTTGTGTGACCTGGGACAAGCGTCAGCCTGTGTTCTCCAGAGACGGGGAGCACCGTGTTGGGAGGCCCGGGGGGCTGCTAGCACCCAGCACCTGGCGTGGGTGTGCCCCTCAGGGTGCTTCCCTGGCCACTCGCCCCCCTGGGCTGTGATGGGCCGGGGGAGAGGCTATGAACGATGTAACGTGCACGCCGCAGTGCTGATGTGCCCCAGGCGAGGCAGCAGGTGTGTGCTAGACTCAGTTGTGTAAAACTGTGAGCCCCGCCTCCCCCAGGTAGTCCCAGAGCACGCTCCTTCCTCTTCTTTATGTCCTTTGTGGTTTTGTTCCTTCTGCAACGAATGTGATTGAGTAAAAGCCATCAGTGCAACCTTTTTGCAGAGACGTGGGCGAGGGTTCTGAGCAGGGGCCTCTCTCGTCTTCCAAGTCGTGGCTGCTTATAGATTTCCGAGGAGGGGAGTCTCCTTCTCCTCCCTGGCCTCAGTTGCTCACCGAGGCCCCGCAGAATGTGTATGTGGAAGTCCCGGTGAAGATGTGGCCTGGGCTCCAGGCTGGAGGGAACGATGGCTGCAGAACGATGGCTGCAGAACGATGGCAGACACATGAGCAGCCCTGCCTGGGTTGGCTCTTCCCATGTGCCCCGCGGGGGTGATCATCCCGCCCTCCCTGGGTGGAGTTGGGGGTGAAGGAGCCGGCGCCCTGCTCAGGGCGCAGGGAGGCCCGGGGTCAGGGGAAGGGACCTGCCCGGGGTCACGCAGCTGCCAGTGTCGGGGCCTGGCCTCCTGGGGGCTGCTCGGGCCCTCGCCACCACCACCCCTCCATGTTTACTGTCGCTTGTCCCCCCTTTTCCAGAGGGGTCACGTGTCACCAGCTCATGACAAATGCAGACTCTGTGTGTATTGTGGTTTCTGGTGTTTTGTTTTTTTTCTATCTTCTAAAAACCTTCCCTGGCTTGTGGGAGGACCGTCAGGAGCCCAGCGGCCGCCGGGACTCTGGTGGATGTCGGAAGCCGTGACGAGGAGGCTGACGGGGCTCGTGAAGTCCAGTCCCAGCTCGCCTTGTCCTCAGATTCTTGTTTGCATGGGGAGGAGGGAGGAGAGGGGCCAAGTTCCCTCCGCCTGGAACGCCCTTCCCCCCCTTCTTCACCTGGCGAACTCCTACTCGTCCTTCAAGACCCAGCTCAAGCGACATCTCCTCCAGGAAGCCTTCCCTGATTTCCTGGGCTGTGGACCCCTTTGGCTCTGTGCTCCCCTGTACCCCGTGCTTCCCTTTCTCTGTCTTGGCCACCGGCCTTCAGTCTGTGCTTGTCACTCTGCGCGTCTGTCGCCCCACAGCAGACTGTGAGCTCCTTGAGGGCAGGGTGCGGTGTCGTGTGCCTGTCTGTCCCTCGTGCTGCTCCTGCCTGACCCTGCGTGGCTGTGCAGAACCTTTGGTGAACAGTGTGGTTACGAGAGAGGAGGGGACGCTTCGCCATTGCACTTCCCTGAGAGGGTGCTGGGTGGGCAGGGGCATCTCAGCCACAGGGGGAGCCTGGGTGAGGAGCATGGCGGGGGAGGCAGAGGACCTGGGCCGGATCCCGGTTTTGCCCCCTCCTGTGGGTGACGACCTTGGGCAGGTCAAGGTTGCGGTCCCAGCTGTGGTTCCTTCCTTGTCGGTCCGATGGGCTTCCCACCAGTTCCCGTCTGGTGCGGTGGTTGGGAGGCTTCCGTGGACACGGGGGCCGTGGTGGGGCCGCAGCTGGGGCCCCCGGAGGGCACCTGCTGGCGAGCCCATCACCCCTGCCCCAGGCTGGCACTGGCCCCTGCTGGCCCCCAGCCCCAGGGAGGCTGCCCCCAGTGGGTGGCATCGGGGTCCCGGCGTAGGCGGGCTGTGCTGGTGACTACGGCTACTTGTCCGCAGGTGACCTCCTTCAGCACGCCACCCACCCCGGAGCGCAACAACCGGCCCGCCTTCTTCTCCCCTTCTCTCAAGAGGAAGGTGCCCCGCAACCGGATTGCCGAGATGAAGAAGTCTCACTCGGCCAACGACAGCGAGGAGTTCTTCCGTGAGGACAACGGTGGGGGTGAGCCACAGGGTGCCGGGTGCCCGCAGGGCCTGAGGGTGGAGCCATGGTCGGGCAGACGGACATCCCGGCTTCGAGGGGCCCCGATCTGTGAGCTCGGCTATCAACATAGGAGGCTTGAAGACGTCTCCCGGCCTTGACGGTCCAACCACTCCACGCAGAGGGTTCCAGAAATCCTTGCCTGGTGGGAGATGAGCTCTCTGGTTCACTGCTGCCTTTCAGGACGTGAGGCTGCTGCTTGAGCTCCTGCTGGGCGCCCTCCGGCTGGCTGTCCCTGGGGCCTCTCGGCCTGGAGCCGGGGTTGGGGGTCCCAGGCTAGCCCACACCTGCCCTGCAGGCCCTCCCAGCAAACCCGCCGCTCCTCCCTGCACGGTGCCCGCCCTGCAGCTGGTGAGGTGGTGAGGGCAGGAGGCACCTGCATCTGAGCGGCAGGAAGCCGTGGGGGAGGGGGGCGTCTAAGCAAGGGAGTGACAAAATCAGATCCGGGCATGTAAATACCACTCAGCCGTCCCTGTGGAGAAGGGACTGTAGGAGGGGGGCTGCCGGCAGAGACAAGGTGTGGGCACTGGACTCTGGGTGCCACGTGTGTGTGCCACGGGGCTGAGGGGACGGCCACAGCACAGACACACCTGTCCTTCATCTGAGCACCGGGTCCCAGAGACAGACGGCCCTGGCCCTGACCTGCTCTTGTGTGCGCTCGGGCGAGTGCCTTCCCCACCCGGGCTCCATTCCAGACCAGTAGGAAGGGGCTGAGAACCCCCAGCCTGCCTCCCCGGCCGACCCATAAGAGGGGGTCACGGCGATGGGTCCTCCCTGCCTTGCCCCGGGCCCTGCTCACTCTGGTGCCCAGTGAGAGATGGGGTCACAGGGAGCAGAGAAGTAACTGTGGCAACAACCAGGCCCCACGGAAGAGACCCTCCAGGGCAAGGAAGAGGGGGCAGGGACAGCTGGAGGGGCAGGGCTGGATAGGCAGGAGGGAGGGGGGCGGTCACAGGCCGGGGATGGGGCAGGGGTGTGGAGGGGCTGCCAGCAGAGGGCCCATGGGGGGTCTGGGGTGGGAGGTGTTCTCGGTCCTCCCAGGAGAACACCCTGACCCAGTCCCCTCCCCTGCAGCGGATCTGCACAACGCCACCAACCTGCGCTCTCGGTCCCTGTCTGGCACGGGGCGGTCCCTCGTCGGATCCTGGCTGAAGCTGAACAGAGCAGATGGAAATTTCCTTCTCTATGCACACTTGACCTACGTCACTTTGCCGCTGCATCGGATTTTAACAGGTAATGCGGGTGAGGGAGACGAGCCCCTTTTGCCCAGCTGGAGCCTGGCAGACACCCGCGGAGGGCTCTTGGTCCCCACATTCAGGACCAGGGATGAGGCTCTGGGGAACCAGGGCCCCATCTCACAGCTCGAGGGGCCCGCCTGTCCACGTGAGGGGCTGCAGACCCCTGGCTCGGGCTGGGGGGTGTGGAGGCAAAGCTCTCGGGGTTCTCACTGACCGGGGTGCACGCAGCGCCGGGGAGCGGCTCCGGAGTCAGGCCAGCCCGCCCTGGAGCCCCACTTCCCCTGGCTTTGGCTGGGCTGTGCAGTGGCCCCGGGGCCACCCCCCCATCTGCAGGTGGGGGTGACAGCAGTGGCAGGGCCACCCCGTCCACACGTGGGGGTGACAGCAGTGGCAGGGCCACCCCGTCCACAGGTGGGGGTGACAACGGCGTCAGGGCTTGGTGGAGACGCGGGCAGTACTAGGCCCCGTGGGGGCCAGGCCCTCACCTCCGCTGCCCTCCCGCCGCCCTAGACATCCTGGAAGTGCGGCAGAAGCCCATCCTGATGACCTAGCCGTGTGCAGAGCCTGCGCAGAGCCCCAGCCCTGCCCGGCCCTGGCGTGCTGCCAAGTGCCTACCCGTCCACCGCTACCGGCGTCTTCTGTGACAGCCCCGCGCCGGAGCCGGAGCCGGAGCCAGGCGGGGCCACTCCCCTCCCGGGCCAGGGCCGACCCCAGGAACACCAGCCCAAACTGAAGTGCCTCTCTGTCCTCCCCCGCCAGCTCCGCTCCTGCCCGCCGCCCGCACCCTCCCCCCGCTCCTGTCCCGAGAGCCCCCCGCACCCAGAGGGGCCCCGAGACGCCCAGAGGCTGGAATATGGACGAGCAGTGGGCGTCCGGGCTGGGCCCAGGCCCATCCGCCTTGCAGATCCGTGTGGCCGCGGCGCCCCATGTCTGATTGTCAACCCTTCCCCGAGGCAAGCTGGCTGGAGACTTGGCAACGCTGAACCGAGACCTTCAGCGCCCGCGTTGGTCCCATGAGTCCGCCCTCCCTTGTTTACCGCTTGGTTACAAACGGGGCGCCGTGGGGAGATGGAAGGTTGGCCCTGGGCTGGGAATACCTCACCCCCGCCCGGTTCCAGAAGGGCCTCGAGCTGGGCAGACCGGCCCCGATCCCGCCAGAATGGCCTTTGCTTCCAGCCAAAGAGCACCACCGACACACACAGCAACCCAGAGACAGCCCGCTCTGCGCCCCGGCGGCCTGAGCCCGGAACTCGGACCCTGCGGCGGGTGGGACGACTTGGCGGCCACCTGGGACAGGTGGCAGGTGGGGGGGGGACCCGGCCTCCGCCGGGGAAGATTCGAGGTAGAACTGCTGTCCTCGGCACGGGGGCTCTGGGGAGGGGACAGGGGTTCCCAGGAGCTGGCTTCCTTTGACTCGGGGCGCTGGTCCCATTTCTCAGACCAGCTCACTGAGGCAGAGGCGCTGACCTCCAGGGGCTTCGTTCTGGCCGCAGGGTCCCGCCTGTGACAGAGGACACGTCGTGCTCAGAACCATGAGCCTTCCCGAGAGCGAGAGTGGAGCAGACCCCCCCGCCCCCTGGGAATAAACTGTCAGCTGGGCCTCTGTTGCTACGTTGTTTTGTCCAAAGTCCCAGGACTGTCTGAGGGTCTCCTGTGGTGCACGGAGGTCCTCTCCGCAGGGGACGGGGATTGGAGGGGCTCGCTCTCCCTTCTGTTTTATCCTGTGCGCTCCGAGGGTTTGCGCCAGGCTCCGGGGTCGGGGGCTACTTTGGGGCTTTCTCTAGATTTTGTACGCTGTTATTAAAGCAAGCTATTGCATTTCATTCTGCCTCAGTTGGCCCACCTGTAAAATGGGGCTGATACCACCTACCTCACAACGTTTCCAGGGCTCCAGTGCATGACTGAGTCAGGCAGCCGTTGAGCGTAGCTCGGGCCAGGGACGGACGGCCTCTGTGGCTGCATCCCCCGCTCCATCACCCATGCCGCGGGGCTGGGCTGGAGCGTTCTCACGTCCTCTGGCAGCCCCAGCTCGTGCTCGGCTGTACCCCAGCTGTCTGCACAAGGTCACCTTCCAGAGCAGTGTTTTAGGACCGCGCAGAGTCCGGCCTCCCTGCAAAGCGCTGGAGCAGAGCCTCAGGTCCCTGAGCATGGCTCCGTGTCCAAGGGTGTCCTCCAGGGCAGCCCAGGGCTGGCGCCCGGCCTGCGTCCAGGGTGGCTAAAATACAGCCGCTGCTTCAGGCGTTCTTTCTCCCTGGTCATCTGGGGTCTGAAGACTCTGGAACTCAGGTCTTGGGAGAAATACGGTCCCGGTGTATCTTCCACGGAAGGATGAGGCAGTTGAAACACAGAAGGACGGCGGCCCTCCCTCTGTTCCCAGAGGCTGAGGAGCGTGAGAGGGTCCCCCGCGCGCCCTGGGCACGTAACACCCCTTCTCTGTCAAATGACAAGTCACAGGGTAACAGGGCCGGTTGCAGTCTCGTGCGCATGTGCTTTGCGGGTCTTAGAAACGTGTGCAACGGTGGTATTTGAGGGATGGTGCGGCTGCGGGGCACGCACAGGCAGCAGTGGCACGCCGGCTCTGCGCTCCCCACTGATGCTGTCCTCCTCCCCGAGTGACGGCAGGAGTCCTGCCTGGGGGGCCACGACCCTGCTGCCCTGCGACAGGTGGCCACCTGTGGTGGAGTCCACCCTTCTCGGTCTTTCTCTCCCGGAGGGCACTCCTGAGACTGAATAGCAAACGTGCTTTTCTGAGAGGCACCTGGTCACTAGGCAGTGAGCTATCCCCCCCCCCCCCCAGGTTTATTGTTCCAGAGTAACAAAGGACGTCGTTAACTAAGAGAAAAACAGCGCCCCGGGCTCCTGGTGGGTCCTGCCGTTGCTACACCATTCTCTTCTTGTCCGGCCATCTTCAGTTTTTCTGGAAACGTGCCTGTCTCTCGTGTAATGCAGGGATGGCCAAAGCATGCGCACATTTCTTCAGTGGGAACTGAAATCCAAGTACAATTTTTCTGTCAAGAAACCGCGGTGTCACTTTTTAGGACACAAATAAGAAAGCAAGCTCCCTTTTTACGAAAAACATCACGGTCCCAGCGTCTGATGGGTGGTGTGTGGCCTCTCATCCACCTCCCAGCGCCTGCAGGCTGACGGGGCATCTGGTCTCACGCACTGATGTCTTGCGGGGACTTCCAGTTGCCTATAGAGACATTGGAGGCCCAGTAGCTCAGAATGGCATCTATGTATCAGTGACAGGGAAGGAGTCAACAGGGAAGGAAATACCCCGCCACCCAGTCAACCTGGAGATGGCCGGGCTTTCTTTTTTTTTTTTTTAAAGATTTTATTTATTTATTCATAAGAGACACAGAGAAAGAGGCAGACACGGGCAGAGGGAGAAGCAGGCTCCATGCAGGGAGCCCAACATGGAACTGGATCCCAGGACTCCAGAATTATGCCCTGGGCCGAAGGCAGGCGCTCAACCACGGAGCCACCTGGGCTGCCCATGGCTGGGCTTTCCGGAGAGTCCCACTCTGCAAGGACTGTGAACAGATCATCAGATCAGGCATCCGTTCTCCACGGAGACGCGGTCAGCGACGCGAAGGCCTGTGCCTGGTGGGAGGGCTTTTTTAAAGAATTGAGCTAGAAGCAAACTGGAAGTTGCTGTTTGAATCACACAGTGTCAGTCAGTAGACTTGAAAAGTCCAGTAAGAACCTTCCTTCCCACTAAGACATCTCACTCAGGAGGCAGGCCGCGTGCGGTTGGTAAGTTTGAACGACTGCCTTGGAGGAATGCATCTGACCCTGTCACCTCGTGGAGGCATGAAGTCATCGGCCAAGATCCCATAGAGATGTCACATGTGCAAGAGGCCAGGGTTTCCAGCAGCCCGAGTGGGTCTCGCTCTGGCACGCACACTGGTCGGTTTTGCGATTGAGCTACAGTGTAGTTTCATATCCAGTCTCTAAAGCCAAGTATCTGTTGACATGACATGGATTTCTTCTGTTTGGGCTGCTTCTCACTTTGTAACCAGAAAGCAGGATTCTCTAAAGACACATCACCACCCGGACAGGACGCAGGCTCCCGGAGGGCAGCGAGCCCGTGTGGCCTTCAGAGGTGGCGGCAGCAGCTCCTGCGGGAGGGAAGGCGCGGGCTTCTAGGTCCCAGGACCAGGGGGTGCACCCACGGCCCTTTCCCTGAGCCTCTGCCTCGAAGGGCCTGGAGAACCCCTTGGATGCCCACCCACAGGAGCCAAGTCACTGAGTGGCCCGGTGTTGGATTTGGGGCTCCATCACGGGTAACCCCCCCCCCCCCGCAGCAGAGGAAGCCGCAGATGTGCAGAGAGAGTTTGTGTTTACAGTTTTCTACCGTCCCCAATGCAAGCAGGCACCTTGATTTTTGCGGCCCCAGGCCTTGAGCTCAGGAGAGGAGAGGTCACAGTGGCGCTCCAACCCCGCTGAGCAGCTGGAAGCATCCGGTCAGAAGGCCGGGCGGGTGAGGTGTACATAGCGCTCGCTCACGGGTTCCAAGTGGACTCTCCGTGGGAGAACAATCAAACCTGCAAAGAAAGCCTGTTGAGATTTTTCACGACTTTGAGGCTTAACTAAAGTGATTTCTACAAAATATATTTTAGCAGAAACACCACGATGGCATAATTGAACACGTCACGATCTAATTGTCGGTGATATTTGCATAAACACAAGCAGCTTCTGGGTTCACCGTCTTCCACGTACAGAAACCATTTCTGAGCAGCGTTCGGTTGGCTGTGAGCTGTGCTTTATGGTTTTGCATTTCTGTTGAAAGTTGATTTGCATGTTGGATATTAAATTTATTTTTCCTCCGTGTTTTCCTCTAATGAATCTGTACTTAGTTGTTTTTTCTTTACCGGGTATTTCAGAGCAAATACAGATGTTACAGCAATGCATAAATGTGGTGACTGAACCTTAATTTGCCCCCAAAGATTTCTTCTTCGACTGTTTTTAGAGCTTTTCACATGAGTTCCTTTCTAGAAATGCTGGAGACGGACAGAAACCACCCCAGGCCCTGGCTCCAGGGAAACACTAGGAGTCAGGCACGGGGTTGGGAGGCCCAAGGCCCGGGGTTTGGTCCGAGGCAGTATTTGCAAAATCCGATCAATATGGACGCATTTCAGGTTTAGCTCCCAGTCCTCGTAAAGCAGTACATGCCTCCTGGTCACAGTCAGATTTCCCAAGCTTTTTTTTGGAAAACCTCTAAAAAGGCCTCATGGCAATGGGAAAATGCCTAGGATCAGAGTCAGGAGTCCCGAGATCAAGTGTAGACAGATGGTTTTGAGACTAGCTAATCCAGCTGATGCGGCTTGCACACATGCATGTTTTTCAAGCTGACTCCACCTCCCCGAGGCAGATGCAGGCCCGTTGCAGCTCCAGGGCTCGGCAGTGGGCTCGCCCTTCCCATGAGCAAACCGAATCTTAAAAGTTGTGTCTCGGGTGAGGAGCCCGTGTCAGGCCTCTGCTGTGTGGCAGGAAGTGTCAGGAAGTGAAAGCACAGAAGGGGGTTCTGAGAGGAACATTTATGCAAATTGAGAAATATGGTGAGAATCGTCCCATTGATGACACCTCTTCCATTAGAGGTCATTGCATTAGAAGCATCCGAACCAGAAGTTTCTGAAGCGGCATCACCAGGGGCAGACCGCGTGAGGGCGTGGTTAGCGAGCGGGCAATCTGGTAGGTTAAAAAAAAAGACATCCTTGTTGCCTATCCAGGTCAGACCCCCTTCTCATTAAAGAGGTAGGAGGAGGCCCCTTTAAAACAGTTGCCTGAGAAGTTTTTAATAAAGCTATTTGTTATGAAAGCTGTCCTGGAAGCTGCTGCAAGAACCTCATCCTGTGAGCGGCCTTCTGAAGGCTAACGTTGCTCTTTCGGTCCTTCTTTTCCATCCCAGATGAACTTTTAGGAACTACCGTCACGCCCCAGCTTTAGAAAAACATGTTAACTGGAAGAGAAAACCTTTGGGAATTTTATATCGGGAGGAGGGGAAGATGTAAAGTAAACTAATCCGTACACTATCCTCGTTCATTGTATATATACACGGTGAATGGACAAACATGCTCTACTTTGTGCTTGACTGTTAAGATGACAGGAGGACAGGTGGGAAATTCATACGAGAAGGGAAGATGTTTGTTTTGGGGGATGATTCAACAAAAGACGTCCTTCCTTTGGCTCACAGCTTCCCTGAGCCCCTCCTGACTTGGCCTCCACATAAGTCAACAGGTTTAACAAGATATTTCTTTTCCTATGTGTGGATTAAGGGTCTTTCATCTTGGAATCTGACTTTAATAAAACAGATTATGCTGCGTTTGAAAGAACCATGGTTTTTTAGTGAACTTCAATGATTCTATTTTGAATAAACCATTTTGCTCGGAAGATTTTTAGACCATTCCAGAAGTCAGTCAAGTTTAGTCCTTTCAGGGGCATACACACATCTTCTGGATGGCGCGCTGGGGATAGCCTGGATGGGTCCACGCCTCCCTGGGCACACGGGACCTGGGCTGGGTTTTTATAGCCATAAAGTCAAATCACCACCTCCCCTCCTGGGTGCAATTTGAGGGGAGACACGCGTATACAAAGGCTGGCACAGTGGTTGGCAACACTGAGAGTCACGGCTGTTCCCCTCCTGGTAATGTGCCAGAGGGCATCACCACGGAGCATGGACATGGCCCAGGGGAAGGGGGGCGGTTCCTCAGACTCGAGCATTTATCAGAACCCCCAGTTGAAACCTAGATAGCCAGGGATGAAAATATTCTGGAATTAGTGGTGGCTGCACAAGTCACCAATGAAATTTAATAAACAATGA